AACTAATAGCTACAGCTAAGGATCATTCGCTGCTGAAAATTTCGAATAAATCATCAACGAAAACCTTACAATTTAAAGACAACGATTTGCTACCAATCCATGATCTACCTACGCAGCAGTGGAACATTGAACTATTCAAATGTGTACTGATAGAGACACTTGTCGAACATGTTAATCATAATTGTTTGCTGGAATCAATTCTTTCGATCGTTGGCGACATGAAAGATATATTTGAAGAGATTAATAACCTATATTTAAAGCCACTTCGACATACAATAAAAGAAAAGATTATTATACTGACCTCCGATGGATACAAATGGTGATGTGGAAGAGGATATTCACAATTACCATATTTTGCTTGTGTGCACTCGTTTGTTTGCCGCTTTCTGCTGTATTATTATCTTTTCTGATAATGTTCAGCTCAGATACAAAGAAAAATTGTGGCGAAATATTCGGTCATGTGATAAAAAACAGGGATATTCGGCATCTTAGTGTTCATACTCTCATTTTTTTACCGTATGTAGTGTATATCAATATTGGATTCTATCATCTACTGAACTAAGCTATGTATATATAAAATAATACCTTTCTCGAAGTCTACTGACCTTTCTTTCTGCACTTATACTTAACTGTGTTGTGTTGGCTTTATCTCTATCACGTACATGTGTCTGCTAATGGAAAAAGGAAAAGATGCTTGTTGAAAGTTGTTATGAGGATGCTCGGTTTGACTTCTATGAAAAAAATACTGTGGGTATTGAAACATCGAAGACAACGGAAATATCTGACAAGCACAATTGTTTATCGAGCAACCGTTATATATCGGCAATGTATATCATGGCATGAGTTGTGATAGTTATTGTTCAACAACTCCTACCAGAACTGATCTGTCTGTATTGATCACAATTTCTATTCAACAATTCGACATTGTTCGATTATATTAAAGATAGTCCGTGGCAGGTTAAACAAGTGCAAAGATCATATGTATTAATAGGAATATTTTGTAATGTAATTTTTTTCTATGACAATTTACTATGGATGGAAAACCTATCGTACTCTAGCAGTCAACATGGATGAAATTATGGCTAGTGTAACGAATAACGGAAAACTCATTGCATACAACTCGAAGTTCTACTACGATTTAGGAAAACTTAAAAATCTAAATTATTTTCTTTTTCGATTGCAACGAGAAGTAACTAATACCGATATTAAAGGTTATTATCTGATAATGACTATTTCTTATGTATTGTTACTTGATCTAGTATTAATTATTATTGAGTTCGAATATTTGCTGTTCAGAACCAATGTGACCAATATGTTGGATGTACTAATATTCGTTGATGTTGCAATTCTATCATTAATTATTATTGGATATTTGATAACAATAGCTGATATCAACCAATGAATAGTAACAAACTATCAACAATTGATTAAGCGAACAGTTACGAAAAAAACAAGAAAATTAATTAATATTCGATCAATCAATCGAAAAACAATCAAAAGTGAGGCGGAATAAAGAGATCTTGAAAATTCCATTCAATATCTCTATGCGATGTCAACTTATACCGAAAATGAGAAAATGAGTTCTGGCATTCGAATCCTTTATTGGTTTATAATCGACATTAATATGGTCCATAAACTTACTATTACGGTTTTTCTTACAATCATATCAGCGATATTTGGTTTTTGTCAAAAATAAATTCAAATTTCCTTAAGAGCTCTTGAGCGTGTGGATAACATGGATGAATCCTATTAATTTATAGTCACTACGGCGCGTTTCGATCCATCTACTACAGATCTCATCAGATGGCTTTATATAATCTGCATAAGTCTATTTTCAAATGAAAAAAATTCAAAAGAATTTACAATATACTTCGTAGTTTATTGTTAAGCGAAATATACTAGTTGATCATAAGTATGCTGCATGCTAAGAATACTTTTCTAATGATGCAATAAAAGTAGTAGATGATTTTCTGGCCTATGTGAGTTAGTTGTTATTGATTCTTATATGAATGTTAATATCTGAAACAAAGATAAGTTCTCTTCATAACCTGTTTTTCTGTGTATTTGACAGTTTTTTGAAGTATACCCACTCATCGTTTCAATAGGTTTTCGATAGTAAAAGCACCTACTGAGCATTCTTAAACGTTTCCCGATAAAATCTTGTGCATTCGCCCAGATAAGCAAAAAATAAAGGAAGATGGCCGATATGACTAGCCTGAACTGTCTGCAACACCTGTCAAGTCTGGTCTGAAACATTTTTCACATCTGTCATGACCACTCATCTTTTCGAAAAATGTCTTTCACACACGTCTAGACTAGTCCAGAAAGTCCTTCGAACGGTTCAGACTAGTCGAAAGACTAAAACAAAATGATGAAAATGGATTTGAACATCTAATTCGACAGTATTCGAACTTATTCTACTAATTCGCATTTAAAATAATAAATAACAGGAAGTAAAAGAAGTCGAATGTAAATAGAAAAATTTAGATGCATGTCGAACATGGATGACTAGACAGTAGAATAACAATCGTTTTAATGTGTATGTCTTATACTGATAAGTATAATCTTTTATATTAAGATTATGAAAATTATAATGACATTTATTTATTTTATATTAAAATATTGTCGATTGTCATCGATCTAATTAATTTTTTTCCGTGTGACTAGAACACAACAATCAGAGATTCTAACATAATCAATAGTGAGTAAAGTCAAAGATAAACAGTATACTTCGTGTATTCTTCTCTTGATACGTCACATTGTATTTTGTACTTTCATATGTCAAAAATGTAAAAGTATATCGTAGTATCAAAAAAATTAGGAATAACTGGAAAGAACAATATTTATCTCGTAGTGGAAAGTGACAATTTATATTTATTATATGTATTAAATTTTCCAAAAATAACTTAAAAATAATTAAAATCTTTTTATATCATCACTCGATATTATTTTTTTTTTTATTTTAAATATAAATTCTAATAGTTTTAAATCTACTAAAGTCTTCCCTCGAAAACCGATCATAGTCCGAGTATGTCTAAATTGGTTGGCTGAAATTTTCAAGATAGAGATATTCACTAAACAAAGATTACAAATAGCCCATTTTGCGTCCAACATTTCTCGATTCAAGCTCGTGCTATATGTTTGATTTTTCTTTTTGTTAGAAAAACCATGTCAAGATACAGAGCACTACTAAGGCCTTTTTCTGTAAATGCTTACTTTTTTAGCAGAGAAAGGAATCATAAGTTCAATGATTGAAAAGACTCACTCAAAATGGGTGCTTTGTTACATAAGTGTCTGTATTTATAATAAAAATAAAGCTTATTTGAAGAAAGGAATTCTGTGGTGCTCTGCGTTTTGCCCTGCTCTGTCTAACAAAAAAATTGCATATATTGATTGAAAATCTTTCAAGACTCTTGGACACGAGATCAAAAAATCATAAATCAAGAAAAAACGAAAAAGATTTTTCATTTTTTTTGGCAAAAGCCTGTTTTTTGAAGATGTACGTGATAAAAATTATCAAAAACCTTGCTTAAAAAAGGAATGTCGATTTAAAAATGATGTTGTTTCTCAAAGAGCAGGAATCAGACTATCTCCTATGCATTTATTTTCATTTTCATTTTTTTACGAAAATTGACTTTTTTTTCAGAGAAGGAAGGAAAGAGGTTTTAAACACATATTTAAATTAGATAAAATTAATTTAATTCTTCGTTCAAAAAAATATGGTGAACGAAACATCTAAACGATGATATGAAAAAATCTTGTTTGTTTTCAATACAAATAGTTTTTTAATGTAAATAGTTGATGATAATCAAAAGATATTTATCTAAAAAATATAAAACTTCTTTTAGTTGATTATGTTTCATGTTGTCGAAATAATCTCGGATTTTGTAAAAGATTTTTTTTTTATTCATTTACATTTTCCCGTTTACGCCTTTGGAGAGTTATGTCATTTTAGAAGAGATGTCTTTCATCCATTATTACACTGAAACGTTTTTCAAAGCACAGCCAATACACATATTTGCTAGATCTACATTAAGTATGATCAAATTCAAATAAAACCTTCAAGCTTTGTTGTCTTTGACGTCACTTTCGCATATATATTTTTTTTTTCTTAACAAAAAATCGAGGGTGTGGGTGTGGGTGTGGGTATCAATGCGGGTGCGATTGTTCGAA